AGGCACTTACATTTCTTTTCAGAAATACAAGTGGGCACACTTCCCAAGACGGAAATCTTTTTCTTTTTTCTTAAGAGCACCATACATTCTTCGGACAACCTCCTTCTCCGGCGACAACGGTGGTCGGAGATGTCAAGAACTCAAGCCTTACTGTTCGGAGAAGGTTGAAATGGCGTGTCGCATCAGAATACATGGCGCTCGGGGACTAGCTGTGGGGGATAGACCCCCGGGTACCACAAGATGGTACATGGGCCGCACCATCCGAGGTGGCCCGGCCCGTAAGATCAAGACGTGCATAGCAAGATTACAAGTTGTACTAGATATTGTGATAGTACCAAATAGGATACTTTACTTGTAACCCTCCTCCTCCAGAGTATATAAGGAGAGGCAGGGGTCCCCCTCAGGGACAGATCCAAGCAGATCATACAATATACATCTCAATACAATACACCAAAGACACAGGACGTAGGGTATTACGTCGACCAGACGGCCCGAACCTGTCTAAATCGCTGTCTCTGCGCCTTGTGTCACCATCTGGTTCCAGATCACACGCATCCTACCGATAATCTACCACCACGGGCACCCCCCTCGGTGGACTGCCGACCATATTTCGTCGACAGCCTGCTACATCCTCGATGATGAGGGTGGACAAGTCCAGCATCGTCTCTATGGAGAGAGTGATCTGGATGTACTTTGCCGGCACGGAGTGGAGGAACTTGGAGACCGCCTCCTCTTCGTCGATGGTGACGCCGTGGCTCTTCAGCTTGCTGATGAGCGTCTGCAGGCGGAGGGAGAAGTCCTCCACCGTTTCACCATCCTTGAACTTGAGGTTTGCGTACTCCTGCTTCAGAAGCTGGGCCATCGCCTTCTTTACGCGGTCGGAACCGACGCGCATCGCCGCAATGGCCTCCCACGCCTCCTTAGCTGAGCTCTTCGTCCCCAACGGTTCCCTATACTCCACCGGTACAGCAGCAAGGATAGCCTCCAATGCTGACATGTCGTCTTCTTCCACGTCGGTGCCCTTGTCAACAGCATTCCAGAGCCGTCGGGCTCTGAGCTTGACCTTCATGGTCACCGACCACTCTCCATAGTTAGTGCGAGTCAGCGTCGGCCAAGTGGTGCCGCTGACCTCCCGCACCGTGCGGACAACTACCTCCGGTAGTGGCTGGGCAGCTATAACAGTGCCACTGCCATCGCCCAACTCCAAACCGCCTGTCCTCGCCATCGGTTAGAATGACGACGGCACTTGTACGACTCTAATACCACTTGTTGGCCCACTGGATCACCGTTGAAGGATAGTGAACTAGTCTCCTAGACCAGACCACTAGTCTCCCAGTCTAGACCACTAGTCTCCCAGACCACTACACCGGTTCTGTCCGTACCCACACACTACGGATCGAGCTAGAAGAAGAAGGGAGAACAGAGCAAGCACGCACAATACAAGACAACAACGTTGACCGATGCCCTGTCTGTGTGATGGCAAATCTGAGCTCTCTTTACTGAGTTGCCATACATGTCTATTTATACAACTCTAACTATCTAGTCCATGTACAGCGCCCATGCCGTGCACAAGAGCTAGATAACTGACAGGCTGACTTCTGACGGCCACCCCTGCACTTCTCTCTGATCTTTGCAGGTGAGCTGCATGGCGGCTCAGCACTGCAGCGCCCTCTTGTATCAGATGGCAAAGAGGGGCAAAATCGGCGCCGCCTTCTCTTGCTGTGTTCACACACAGCAGGCGGCTAAGTCGGCGCCGCCTTCCTCTGCTGTGTTCATACAAGGTGGTAGTAGATTAGCTAACAGTCAATTCTAGGGAGGCCAGCCGAATGGTTTACTTTGCATGTTCATTATTATTTTGTGTTTCGACTGTACCTTTTCAAAATCACTATTATATATATATATATATATATATATATATATATATATATATATATATATATATATATATATATATATATATATATATATATATATGGAGAAGATACATGGCCAACTTTTACACTTGAAAATTCTTCGAATAATAATGGTACAGACATATATAAACACGCGCTTACTTACCATATGAATAGCTAGACCTGTGAACGTCTAAAACTAGGCCAACAGATTTTGATATTAACGAACCCTTACAGAAACAGTTTTTGAGACATATTCTTTTATTTACAGAAGCTGTCTAACTTTTCCGTATCTAAAAATACATACTGAAAATTATTATTAAGAGATTGGTTGATCCATCTACAGAGACTACGACAGTCCAATGATAGACAATATGTGTAAATTAATTTGCAGAGACAGTCTAATGTAAAAAAGCCCCAGCCTATTTATTAGCCACATATATCACTAAAAGAATTATTTGCATAAAATAAGATTACACATTTCTCAGTATCATGTTTACAAAATCCCAAAATTAACATGTCTAGTTTACAAAATCAGTTTCAGGCTAGCTAAAAATCAGACGATTATTTATCATGTTTTCCTTTCATGCCAGTCAGGCACCGTTTAAATTGTTGGTATTGCGACGTAGCTTTCTCAAATGCACTACCATTATTCTCTGTTTTTTTTGTACCAAATAAATTTCTACATTCTACAATTATTCAACGTACCAGTAAGGTTACTAAACAACTGTTTTGTTAAATGAAAACACCTAGAAGTTTTCAATAGGGAAGCACGTGCCAATGTGCTAGTAGCCTAGTAGACCTAGTCATGGCCTGCCCGAAGAAAAAAAACATCCTGGCGGCGTCGGGTCAGGATCGAGCTACAACTTTCGACCTTTAATCCAACGCATCCTGAAAAAATCGACACGACAAAATAGGAGAAATAGCCCAACCTAACCCAGCCCAACCTGATGTGTCCGTAGGGTGGTCGCATACCAACAATCTCGTCGTGTTCTTTTTTTTCTGGCCCAACTCGACCCGACGTTTGATTAAGTCTACAATGTGCCAATCCTCTATCCTCTATACCTTAATAGGACATCCCCACTAGCTAAATTCTCTGTAATTTCATGAAGCCACATCAGCAATCAACCGAAGCATCATGCATAAACTCAGGAGCTCAAGAGTCAGTAACGAAGCGTCCCTTTACATCCGCATAGAAAACCTAGGCGACACTATAGCCAGGCGCTATTATATATGTCCCTTGCACTTCACCTCCCGCACCATTATCTCAAAACACTCCACATTCACCGCTGCACGATCAAATTGGAAAGAGACGTCTTCTATAGTAAAATGAAAAGTCGGCACCTATATATATTAGCCCTAATCCTTCCTGGTTCCGATCCCTGGCTGCATCGCCTGCCGCCTTTCCCTAAAGCAGCCCCTCTCCGACGCCTCCTCCATTGTTGGCACCAAGGAGTTGCATTGCCACACATCGGCCAACTCCTACGACATCGGGCTGGGTTGCTCAACCATGAGGAGAGGAGCCATCACTGGGAGTTGATGATGAAAGGGGTGTGTTGGCACAGGGGCTGGAGGAGGATGTGGCCGGGGGCCATTGTGCCAGGGAGCAAGACCACGTACCACCCCCTGACGCACTCGTCATCTGTCCACCAAATGGACACCGGTTCATACCCCGCCTCCTCCGTCGAGGACTTCAATTGCATCATCGTGGCCTACTCCATGCTCTTTGACCCAAGAAGCGCGTGACTATGATTGTCGCCTCCTTCTCTCCGCCGCCGCAGGATGAGAGTTCTTTGCCTCTACATTGGGATTCTATTGTTGAGAAAATAAGCATTGCTAGGTATAGGGAGGTGCGGGAGTAGTGGAGGTGAATAGATGCATGAGATGAAATGGGTGGGCAGAGGCACCGCCCGTGCGTTCGTGCGCGAGGCTACAAGCTACGACCGATTGTTTAGGTGGCAATTTGGGATATGGGAAATGAGGGATGTGATAGATTTGATCCAATGTTTGGATAGTAGAAAATGAAGATATGAATAGGGAAATAAAGACTAGCATATCCATCCCATAGCTCCTCTTTTATCCCAATTCATTTTCCCTTCTCTATCCCAATCCCCATCCATTAGGGTAGTTGTGCTTTTTTCTATGGGAGATGGATGGATCGGCGGCGTGGATAAGTCCTATGCGGTGATGGTTTCACGAGTGGGCTACCCTAGTAACTAAGACAGTATTATCTCTTATGATAAAAAAACTACTACTATTTCTTCTCGGAAGTATTCATAGGTCTACCGAGCTCCAGTGCCCCGCATGTCATCGTTGCCTCTAGATCAAGTAACAATCATCACGTCAGCATCAAGTTTAAGACGGTGCTATTTAGAATCTTAGACTCTCTCTCTATTCTGCATGTTTTGTAAGTATGTTCAAAAGTGTATTTATTATCAAGTATACAGAAGGGACACGTACCACTGCCAATGGCATGCAAAAAGACACATGGTGGCCTTACATGGTGAGTTGTTTTCTAAGTTTTTGTCAACTTTTTTTCAGTATAACTGCTATGTGTCTAGAGCCTGAACACAAGGATTTGAGGTGACGGCTAATGGCAGTGGTTTCTCCGCCGCCGTTTTCTTGGCCACGATGCAAGATTAAGGGAGCGGTGATGCTGGGTGAGGACGTATGAATTTAGCCTAGTCCTGTGAATGAATATCTCGATGTCCAGCCCAGTGAAATGCATGACGCAATATAATTCCCACAGCAATGTGCGGGGTATCATCTAGTGCTTCTAAAAGCCAAAATACTTTGCATTCAAACTACTGCTTCACTGTGACTAATATTATGCACCAAAAAGTTTGTATGATCATAGAAGCTAGAACGATAAGCTCCATTGTTAACTCAACACAACAACATACATTTGCAATCAAATTATTGAAGGATGGAGATGCATGCTTACAACAGGTTTTAATCTTATGTGTGAATGGGCAATGCTCAAATGTGCAAATGAAAATTGTATTCACTCACAAATTTAGACTAAAACAAGTTTACAAGTGGATACAATCCAGCAACTACAGCATGGGTTCCCCTATGATACATTACAACCAATATGCACCCATGAAGCTATGTCATAGGCAGTGTAGCTAAGAAGGCGTCCAATTTTACATTATCGGTACGAGACAAGAACTTGATGCAAAGGGGTGCCCGCACTTGTGTGAGTGCCATTGTCGACGATAGTAGCATCCCCAGCCCGTCCCCACAGACCATCCCTGATGCCACCGCCATTGAGAACGCCGGTGCCTTGCTAGGGTTGGCCCACCGCCATAAGTACAACACCAAGCTCCCCACGAACATGTCAATGGGTATGCGTGCCGGCACTACAATGGCGATGGCCACGCAGATGGTGCTCGGAATGTACTGTGCCACACGCCACTGCTTCCATGTGGCCACCTCTCGGAACATGCTAAGCACCAGCGCTAGTGCGAAGAAGAGCTTGCAGAGCCACAAGCTGTGCATAGGTAGCGCGTTCTGGCCAGCGCTCAGCATGGCGATGCTGCGGTACACTCGGGCATAGGGCGCATCAAAGATGTCAGTGTCGCCATTTTGCACCTTGTAGAAGATCCAGAACATGACCGGGTTGATGATGCACCCGAATGCTGTGCCGATTGCCTGGCTGATGAACACGATGTGTGGTGAGGTTAGCGTTAAGTACCCTGTCTTTAGGTCTTGCATCAGGTTGTTGCTATTAGACATTGCCCCCATCACGATCCCACAGGAGACGAGGCCAGCAATCACACCACCATCGTTACGACCAACACTTGAACCGATGAGGACCATAGCAAGCTTGCCATAAGTGCTCGACAAGTTCATGTCGGTCACACCAAATGCATAGGCATCACAAAAGGCAATGACCGGTGCAACAAGGTAGATGAGAGCAACATGGATGTGCTTCATCTGCGGGTAGAGGTACGGTATGGCAATGGTGGAGACCACCGATAGGAGGATGTAACAGATAATGTTGACCGAGTTGGATATATGGTCCCGTAAAAACACCTGTGCCCTACGACGATCACCGAAGCTCTTTTTTGTCTTTTGTAGCTCAGCAGCATTGAGGCAGTGGAATGGCAACTGCGTGTCACTATCAACTTCATTATCACCTTGCATTGGTTGCTTGCGCCGCTGGCACATGGAGTACAATGTGCATAACACAATTGATAGGAAGTTGAAGAGGCCATCAGCGAGTATCATGGACACTCCGATGAACACCTTATAGCCCCTGATGCCGTTAAGGCTGCTAGAGCTCATGTTAGAAGGGTACCAGATACCCGCCTTCGTTGCAAGGTACGGTGAAATGATCCCCCATGAGATAACACACCCAATGAACATGGAGACAGTGATGATGTATGGGCACAACATACCGATGCCAATATTAGACATGGAAAAGTCGAAATAGAATCTGGTCAAGGAAATGGAATGCAAAGTTGTTAGTCCATACATAGACAAGGTTTGACAAGTAATTAGTTTATTTTATAGCTGTGTTAGTTGTTGTGTACCCATGTTTATACGCCTCAAGGCCAAATATAGGGAATACTTTGAAGCCACAGTCCTTTGCAGCAGTGAAAAACCACTGGAAGATGTTCCACAATACGCTTCCCCCAAATGAACTAAACAACATCTTCACTTGTTGCCTGTAAGTAAACAATCATGGTGACATAACAAAATAAGCATGCATACTTGTTTGATAAAACCGAAGGCATTCATTTATTCATTGAGTTCCTTTAACCGATGATACGTGCCTTGCCTTATTGACGCCTTGAGGGGTATGGAAGCTATTTATAAGGTGTGCCGTGGCCATTCCACTAGGGAATGTCAACCGGTGCCGAATGATCATGACCTTCCTGAAGGGCATGAGGATGAACAAGCCAGAAAAACTAACAAGGAAGAGAAAAGCAATCAATCGGCCAATGCTCGGCTCAATAATATTCTTCTCATCCTTCGTGTCTCCTCCTGCTGCATTCTTGCCCATTGCGAGGATGTATGTACCAAACCCTCCTAAATATGAATGTGACACATTTAACAACCCATATAATTGAATAACAACATGGCAGAGTATAGTAAATAAAGTTTTGCATGCGGTGCTTATATAGATATATACCACTGAATGTAATGGCAGAGCAGGCGACAACACATGTCTGAATGACGGTATTCTCTTGGCGAGTGAATGGTTGGTATGGCAATTCAAAACAATCAAGAGCGCGGAACCATGCCCGGATGAGGTAGAAACCGATGAGGCCAGCTGGGACGGTGAGTGACGGGACGAAGCCTGAGCTTAGGCTGATCTTCATGGCGACGGCGCAGAGGGCAACACCAAGGATAAAGCTAACCACTATTGATCGTGGTGTTATGGTCTCTGACAATGATGGGATTGGATCTGCCTCAAATGCACGCTCTGTCGAGACGCCTTCCTGCACACAATCAACTTGCTCCATTGTAGGGGATTACTAAGTTCCTTTTGGTGGAGGAACAAATGAGATTTAGTTATTTGTTTGATTCTGTGTGCATGTCTTGACCTATTAATTAATAAACCAAGACATACACACAGAATCGAATGCTGGATGCAATGGGAGAGAAGGGGGGAGAGGTGGCCTTTTATAAGGAGTCAAGTAGTTAATTAAGGAACACCGGTCCTTCTAACTATAGCATGCGTGTTTGCATGCCTTTGTTGTCTTGGAGCTTACTTTAGCTTTGCCTGTGTTTTCGTGGCTGTGCTTTCCTTCTCTGGGGGGTGTAATATATGACACACATTAGCGCACGTACATTGTTAGCGTTGCATGATGAAACAAAAGTGCAACAAATTAAACTACCGATGCACCCAAAGGAAATGACGTACAGAACCGGACGTGTTGCTACATTGCTACTAAAAATAGGAGGGATATAGAGTATAGCATTAACTAACTATTATAATTTTGCTATAAAAATTCGTAAACGTATAACTAATATAAGGCACTCACATGTGTGCGCCTTTTCTGTTGCAGGAGGCAAAGCTTTTTGTCATGTTTAGATTAGTAGAAGGATACCCTGATCTAAATTAAATCCAAAATTTTTTGTAGCTTTTATGAAAAAAATAGTAGAAGGCAGCCTGTGCTAGGGCACTTTTCAATGGTTCTACACAGGTGGACCTAATTGTATACTTGCTGTCATCCTGACATTTATACTTGCTGTCATCCTGTCATCCCGGTAGGAGGCTAGTAGCTAGGACTCTAGGAGTCGATGCCGATCGATGTGCATGGTGATTGCGTCCATTGCGATAATTAGTGTGGCGTTCGGACTCTTCAGGCGCCGTTGTGTTGGATTCGACCAAACCGTGCTTGGAAATTGCTCTGCAGCTAATTAACTAAAACTTTTGTGCCATTTGTGGTACATACGTGACTTTAATCTTCTAAACCATAGAGGAAATAAATAGTGTTCTAAGGTCATGTTTGGATTCCCTCGTCTAAACTTCAGAGCTCAAAAATTTTAGAGCACTTTAACTCAGTTTTAAGGTCTAAAGTTCTAATTTGAGGTTGGCTAAAGTTTAGAGCTAACTTTAGATCACATATTTAGAGATTTAGCTCTAAAGTTTAGATGAGTGGATCCAAATAGGCCTCAATAGCTGGCTATGAACTTTAGCGTCTATATTTTTCAAAGGCTTAAAAGGCAATAGCGGGGTAAATAGCCGGCTAAGTCCATTTAGCAGCTTAACAAAAGACATATGTCAAACACTAGAGAATTTTACACATATAAACATAAGAGATGAACCGGGAAATTTTGAACTAGCTCCTCTTTCTAGAGCAGGAGTAGTTTTTAAAATTTGCACAAGGCCCACAATATCAGGATTTTCTAGAGCAAGAGTAGTTTCTTTTGCCGTGCGTGAAGTCCACAGCGCCATGTAAAATTCGCGCACTGCGCAAAAAAGCAACCAACGAAGGATCAAACCTGGGACCTATCACCTCTGCTAACCAGTCTGATAGGGAGTATTTGTTGCCTGGGAGAAAAAACAAAAATGCTATTTAATAAGGATAAACATGGGAAAATACATCCTAACTAATCGCTCTTTAGAATCCTTAATGATGTCCAAAACGACTTAAATTTTAAGTATGGAGGGAGTACATGCTGGGTTACATTTGTAGCATAAAACTGTCGAATATGAAAGGAAATGTACTCCCTTCATTCCATTATAAGACTTTTTTTTGCTTTTCTAGACATTGTTTTCACTATATATCTAGACCCTAAATGCTTTCCTTCTTTTACGAGATCAGATAACTTAAGGATTTCTCTTGCAGAAAGATATCTTATAGGATTTCTCAACTACTTAATCAATTTTATTTTTTATTAGAAAGACATACATATTATTGATTTTATTATATTTTGAATGAAAAAAAAACAAAAGCTGGTTACTTATTTGCAGGCTCATGAATAAACCCACTTGCATTCTCTTACTACTGCTCTCTCTGTCTCAAAAATAATATACTTTTTACAACCCTAAGAGTCAAACAATTAGTTTTTTGACCAAATTTATAAAAATACTATTATTTATGATACCGTTAATTATGAAATATATTTTTTTATATCAAGATTAGATATAAATGTTTTCTCTATAAATTTGGTTAAATTTAAGAAAGTTTGATCTTAGTAGAGTTTAGAACTATATTTTTTTTAATAAAGACAGGGGGAGTATGTTGCTTTGCTTTATTGGTGTGCCTCAGAACTGCCTAGTACAGGGTTTTCTCATAAAAAAATTTGAGAGGAGGAGACCCTGTGATGGGGCCCATACGTCAGTTGGCTCACCGGTAGCAGGACACTCGGTTCCAGACCGTTCCCGACCACTCGGAGCAGAGGAAGCCCGGCCGCCCCCGCCACCGCCACGCGACCGCAGCCAATGGCGCGACTCCGCGCGGTCTGAGGCCATCCGGACCGTCGGATGGGCGTGACGGACGGCCGCGGCTGGCCCAGCACAGAGCCCCCCGCGATTGGCTCGGGCGTCCACGCGTCGCGCTCCTACTGGTCCAGGTCGGACTCGTGACGTCCCGGCCAACGCGACGGGCGCAGCGAGATCCCGAGCCAGCCGAGTTTAAAACCCGTCCCCGTCTCGTCTCTCCTCTCCACCAACAGACTCGACTCAACAGGAGGCTCGACTCGTCAGCCAGCAGTTCGAAACCAAGGAGCTTCAAGAAGGCGAGGAGGAGGAGGAGACGCGCGCGCAGCGTTGAGGTGGTGCCGGCCATGGATCGGGTTCGCGGATCCGCGTTCCTGCTCGGCGTCCTGCTCGCAGGTACCTACCGTGCGATCCCGTCGTCTCGTGCGGTTCGGTTTCTCTGAGGTTTTTGTGTTGTTTGTTTTATGTTACTGTGATGGATGTGAGATGAGATCTGGTGCTGGGGTTAGATTTGATAGTGCCCCTGAGATGCCTCGAGCTCGATCTGCGTGAGATATATGTTTGGATCATGAATTGAGGAGCGGGTGCTGGGGATGACGGGACACCGTAGACTGTTCATTCATGTGATCTAGTACTTAGACTGTTTCTAGGTAGTATTTCCTTGATCTAATTGGTACCCATCCGCGACCAAGGGATGTAGTTGATGCAGAATTATTTTAACTATCCCCCTGAACCTGAAACTGAGTCGCGTTCACTCCGGCTGAGTTCACACATTAGCTAGCGATTTCAGACTTCATTTCATAGATAGACTTCATTACTGCCTCGATCTGTGATTGGTTCGATCATGCTCATGGTATTAGAATTAGAAGAGAATGTAATGGTATGGAGCAGACTGTGATTCTCATTTCATGTCTAAACATCCGGTCATTACATTTATAATAATTGAACTAACAGCCAGTCATGAAATTTATAATAATTGAACTAACTGTAGGTGTCTATTTTTTATATGGATTAGATTACCAAAACATTCAGATTCAGTGGAATAATTGGAATGTGTCTGAATTCACTATTTACTGATGTCAAATGCTGCCTCAATTACATTACATTTCAGTTTCTGCTGCTGCTGCTGCTGCTGCTGTATATGTGCTGGTAACTTCAGAGATAAGATAATACATGATCAGTGTCATTTAATCATTTTATTCTGTATATTTGCAGGATCCCTGTTTGCATTTTCAGTTGCTAAGGAGGAGACCAAGAAGCTCGGGACCGTGATCGGTATCGATCTCGGTACCACCTACTCTTGTGTCGGTGTGTACAAGAACGGTCATGTCGAGATCATCGCCAATGACCAGGGTAACCGTATCACACCCTCATGGGTTGCCTTCACCGATAGCGAGAGGCTCATCGGTGAGGCTGCCAAGAACCAGGCAGCTGTCAACCCTGAGAGGACCATCTTTGACGTCAAGCGTCTCATCGGAAGAAAGTAATACCTCCCTCCCACAATTACTTATCGTAATTCATCTTGCTGTGGATTATGTCTGGTGTCTTAACTGTAATACCCATTGTTTAGGTTTGAGGACAAGGAAGTCCAGAGGGACATGAAACTTGTTCCCTACAAGATTATTAACAAGGATGGTAAGCCCTACATTCAGGTCAAGATCAAGGATGGGGAGAACAAGGTCTTCAGCCCTGAGGAGATCAGTGCCATGATTCTTGGCAAGATGAAGGATACTGCTGAGGCTTACCTTGGCAAGAAGATCACCGATGCTGTCGTCACTGTCCCTGGTTAGTAACTGAACCATTCTGCTGGTTACCTCTGGTGGTTGTCATATAAAAATGTGGTGGCTCACTTCTTTATGTTGTGTATTTTTTGCAGCGTACTTCAATGATGCGCAGAGGCAGGCAACCAAGGATGCTGGTGTCATTGCCGGCCTCAATGTTGCTAGGATCATCAATGAGCCGACTGCTGCTGCTATTGCCTACGGTTTGGACAAGAAGGGTGGCGAGAAGAACATCCTTGTGTTTGACCTTGGTGGTGGTACTTTTGATGTCAGTGTCTTGACCATTGACAATGGTGTGTTTGAGGTGCTGGCCACCAACGGTGACACCCATCTTGGAGGTAATAGAATTTTCTCATTAAATCTTTCTAGCCATCCAATGCACAGGCAATATACTTCTGATGACTGTACTATCAGATGCTATGTTGACATTGATTAAAAACATGATGATGCCATATATTCATAGTGTTCATTGATCTGAATCTGAATGGTTATGATGCCAGATACATTAATAGAAGTTCTATCTGCATTGAAGTTTATGATGCATGCACTTGTTTTAGATGAATGAATTCATCATCCATACCTTGAATCTGCTCTGTATATTTACTTGCCATTAGAAGTTACATGGACGCATTTGCTTTTTTACTGTTGATGTATTTCATGCATAATCTATCAGCACATTTCCTGTGAGCTTACACTGTAACTTGCCTATTTATGACTGAGCTGTATCATCTCTTCATTCAGGTGAGGACTTTGACCAGAGGATCATGGAGTACTTCATCAAGTTGATCAAGAA